TTCGAACAAATAATAAAAGAAAATTTCCCCAATCTGGCAAAGGAAATAGACTTCCAAGAAATCCAAGAAGCCCAGAGAGTACCAAAAAAGTTGGACTCAAGAAGAAACACACCAAGGCATATCATAATTACATTAGCCAAAATTAAAATGAAGGAAAGAATCCTGGAAGCAGCAAGAGGTAAGGGGACAATCACCTACAAAGGAATCCCCATCAGGCTGTCAGCAGATTTCTCAAAAGAGACCTTACAGGCAAGAAGGGGCTGGAAAGAAATATTGCAAGTCATGAAATCTAAAGACCTACAACCAAGATTGCTCTACCCAGCAAAACTTTCATTTAGAACGGAAGGACAGATAAGGTGCTTCTCAGATAAGACCAAATTCAAGGAGTTCATCATCACCAAGCCCTTATTATATGAAATGTTAAAGGGACTTATCTAAGAAAAAGAAGTTAAAGAAACATGAACAGTGAAAGGACAACAAACTCACAGTTATTAACAAACACACCTAAAACGAAAGCAAACTAAAAGGACAGCTAGAGCAGGAGTGGAAACATAGAAATGAAGATCTCAAGGAGGGTTAGCAACAGGGGAGTGGGAGGAGGAGACGGGGGGAGAAGGTACAGAAAATAAGTAGCATAGACAGTAGATAGAAAATAGATGGGGGAGGGGCAAGAATAGTATGGGAAATATAGAACCTAAAGGACTTGAGACACATGGACATAAACTAAAGGGGGGTAATGGTGGGGTTGGGGGGGCAGGGTGGAGGGGAATGAAGGGGGGAATAGAACAACTGTAACAGCATAATTAATTCAAAAAAAATAAATAAATTTATTTTAAAAAAATTAAAAAAACAACTAATAATCAAATAGAATAATTATAACAGCATACTATAATAAAAGTTATGCAAATAATAAAAAAAAGAACTTGAGACATGTAGTCAAACTAAAGGGGAGAATGGTGGGGGAGGGGTATGCAGGGTGGAGGGGAAAGGAGGGGGGAATAGAACAACTGTAATGGCATAATCAATAAAAAGAAAAAAGAAAACAATCATATTCTCAATTGCTACAAAAAGAATAAAATACCTAGGAATAAACCAAAGCAAGGATATAAAAGACCTGTACTTGCAAAATTATAAGACACTGAAGAAAGAAGTATGAGAAAATACAAATAAGGAGAAGCACATACTGTATTCATGGATAGGAAAAATTAACTTCATTAAAATATCTTTTTGCCATCTTAAAGCTTGTTGAGCCTGCCAGGAACAGAACTTCTACAACAATAAATATGTCTGTGGAAGGTTGTGGTCAAGGGCCATTTTTGCTGGCTATCGTCAGGGTCTCTGGAACCAGAGGGAGCACACAGCTCTTCTTAATATTGAAGGTGTTTAAGTTCGAGATGAAACTGAATTCTCTCTAAGCAAGAGATGTGCTTATGTGTCCAAAGCAAAGAACAACAAAGTGACTCCTGGTGGTAAACCCAAAAAAAAAAACCCAGACTAACCTGGGGAAAGGTAACTTGTGCTCATGGAAACAGTGGCACAGTTCGTGCTAAATTTGAAGCAACCTTCCTGCTAAGGCCATTGGACACAGAATCTGTGTAATGTTGTACCCCTCAAGGATTTAAGCTTATTCATAAATAAATAAGCTTAGTGGTTCAGTTGGGGGCTGTGTGGTTCGGTGGGGGGCCCTATGGCAAAGTGAAGGATTCCAGGTTGGGGGACATGGTTGGGTTGCAGGTTTAGTCCCTGGTCAAGATGCAAAGGGGAGCCAACTGATGAATGTTTTTCACACACATCGATGGTTCTTATCTTTTTTTCTCCCTTACTCCCCTCTCAAATAAGTAAATAAAATCTATTTTAAAGCATAAGTTAAAAATAAATAAAATAAAATATTGATAGTACCCAAAGCAATCTATAGATTCGACCCAATTCATATCAAGATTCCAATGATGATTATCACAGAACCAGAACAAATATTTAAAAAATTTATATGTAGCTCAGTGGATTGAGCATGGGCTGCAAACCAAAGGGTCACCAGTTCAATTCCAAGTAAGGGCACATACCTGGGTTGCAGGCCAGCTCCCCAGTGGGGGCCACGTGAGAGGCAAACACACTGATGTTTCTCACCCTTTCTTCCTCCCATCCCCTCTCTCTAAAAATAACTAAATAAATAAAACCTTTAAAACATTTATACAGAACCACAAAAGGCCCTGCATAGCAACAGTGATCCTAAGAAAGAAGAACATAATTGGAGGAATCACACTACCTAATATCAAATTATACTATAAGGTCACAGTAATTAAACAGCATGGTACTGGGATAAAGACAGACACATAGATCAATGGAACATTATAGAGAGCCCAGAAATAAACCCAAACTTTTACAATCAATTATCTACAGAGGAAGCAAGCACATACAATGTATTAAAGATAGTTTATTCAATAAATGGTGTTGGGAAAATTGGACAGACACATGCAGGAAAATGAAACTAGGCCACCTTTTCTTACCACACACAGTAATAAATTTAAAATGTATCAAAGACTTAAATGGTAGATTGAAACCATAAAAATTGTAGAAGAAAACATAGGCAACAAAATCTCGGACATTGCTAAAAGCAATTTTTTTTATTGAGTATATCTCCCCAGGCAAGGGAAATAAAAGAAAAAATAAACAAATAGGACTACATCAAACTAATTTTTTTTGCACAGTAAAGGAAACCATCAACAAAATAAAAAGACAACCCATAGAATGGGAGACCATATTTGCCGATACCTCTGAAATATCCGAAATTTATAAAGAACTTAGAAAACTCAACACCAAAAACAAATAAACAATCCAATTAAAACATGGACAAAGGACCTGAATAGACACTTCTCCAAAGAAGACATACAGATGGCCACTAGACATAGGAAAAGAAGCTCAATGTTACTAATCATCAGAGAAATGCAAATTAAAATCACAATGAGATACCATCTCACACCTGTCAGAATGGCTATCATCAAAAAATCAGCAAACAAGTGCTGGCGAGGATGTGGAGAAAGGGGGTACCCTTTTGCACTATTGGTGGGAATATAGATTGGTGCAGCCACTGTGGAAAGCAGTATGGAAATAACTAAAAAAATAAAAAATGGCTCTGCCTTTTGACTCAGCTATTCTGCTTCTGGGAATATATCTGCTTCCCAAAACACTAATCCAAAGAAACATAAGCATCTCTATATTCATTGCAGCGTTATTTTACTATTGCCAGGATATGGAAGCAGCCCAAGTGTCCATTAGCAGATAAATGTATAAAACAAGCATGGGACATTCACACAACAGAATACTACTCAGCTATAAAAAAGAAGAAAATTTTACCATTTGAGACAGTATGGATGGACCTAGAGAACATTATGCTAAGTGAAATAAGCCTTTCAGAAAAAGAAAAATGCCATATGCTTTCACTCATATGTAGAATCTAATGAACAAACTGAAGTATCAAGGAAAATAGGTATAGATTCATAGGTGGAGAGCAGGATGACAGCTAATAGGGGGAAGGGAAGGGTATGGAGGGATTTAGCAAAAAGGGAAAGGGACTCATGGATTGCTGGGGAGGGAGGGATCTATATTGGAACTAATTGGTAATAAAAATACACAATAAAGATTAAAAATAAATGGTAATAAAATTAGAGGATGGCTTTGATGATTATATATTAATCTTCAAAGCAGTAGAAATTACAGAATATCATAAACTAAGTTTGCTAGACACTATACATTTAAATATTCAATCTTTCAGTTCTTATCTTGATTAGAGAAAGAGTAGGACTATAGATATTAAAAAAATAAAGTCATGATGAAAATTTACCTTTACTAGGGTGAGTATTGCCAGAGGTGAGAAGATGGAGATAAAGAGGAAAATCAATAGGATCAGAAAATCTAAAAATTATTCTAATTAAATTTCTGACACTGACATCAGCATGCATAGGTTTTGGTGAAAATAATAAAACCTTTCCTCAATATACTAATATGGCTACTCAGTTTGACATAACAAAATACAGATGACAACAGAAGGTTCATACTTTTGTAATAATTAGAAAGATGTGTTTCATGACCAATGAAAGCACAATTTAACTGAATTACGCAAAGTTAGAATTGAAATAACAAACTCAGTCTGAAGACAAGTGATCTAATGTCATAAATCCCTATTAACAAAGCTTAAAGTACAAAATGTCTTCATTGTGCAGAACATTCAGGTAAAAGAACTTTCCATTTTTTTTTTTTGGTTTGCAAGAAGTTTTTGTTTTATTGTTTCTTTGGCAACAATGAAATATCTGTGGAGCAGAAAGCACTGGGAAACTAGGAAAGAAACCACCTTTTTTCTTCATTTGATCTCACTGTGATACTGTGGTGAAAGGTCTTATAAAACAAGAACCTGTTAAGAACACAAGAATCTATGAGAAACTGGTCAGTTTTACTGTTCATAGCTTATAAATAGGAGGACTGACGTATATGTGAACTTATAACCTCTTTGGTTCACTTTACACTGTGGTTACTTTAAAAATACAAGTGAGAATATTCAAATTTCTCACTTTGCCCTAAAATCTCTTTAGTCTGCTCAGACAGACTGAGCATATTCAAGAATGTTTGGGATATGTTTTGCCCTATATCCTGGCTCTGTAGCTGTATTTCTTCAGAGAATAGATTAGAAAGACATTTAAGCTTATTAGAAAGGTGTCATCCCCTCACATCAAAGTACATAGGGATAAAAGTTCAAGAATTATAAATTCTTAGAAAACATTAAAAAAAATCCTTTTGGACCTGGCAAGGAAAATGTCAACAAGTCAAAAGAAACTAGATGGCTATTGACCAGTTTCATGAAGGCAAAGCTGCAAGCCAAGATGGAATAATGCTTTCCCACCAAGCGACTAAGGCACACATGACACTAATCCTTTTTAATGGTCATGAAAGCTGACAACTTACTCAGCCTTAGAACTGAAGGCACAAAATCATCTCTGGGAATGACTCACCATAAACAGGTCTCGAGCACCAATGTCAACAGCTAACAAAAATGCCTTTTCAAATCTCTGGTACCTGTAAGGAAGAAATATTATCTATTAGTGCAAACAAAACTATATAAAAGCAGAGAGCTGTTTAATATATTTATACATTATTGTTTTTGCTCTTCTGATGGCAAAAATATTTTCAAACAGTAGAGCCTTTGTCCACTGGGATCTTTTGTATGTGAAATATTACTGTACTTAGAAGGCGCTGAGGCACAGTGCCCACTGAGGCCCTGCAGTACCACTTCCCAGGAGATGCATAGCCCAGAGTAGGTGCTGCTGAATACAGGGATAGCTTAGGAACTACATTTTTGAAAACTTTTTACTTTATTGTGCTTTGTAAGAGAAAAGTATAGGGGCCTGGAGACTACAGCAAGATAAGAGCAATTAACATTTTAACTACAGTTTTGTGTTTCTTAGTTAAAAGTTGAGAAGTCAAATGTTGATTACAGAAGTCTCACTTTTGAATTTTTGAAAAAATTTATCTTAGACTGTTGTAAAGTGACAAGTAAATGGTTTCTAAATATTTTTAAGATAATAGTTTTCTACTCTATTGAGTAGAAAACTACTCTATTTTCTACTCTATTTTCAATCATTCTCTTTCCCAAAAGTAAAATTTCGAGAGTTTTCTTAGTGTAAGTTTAATTTTAGGCTGAGAGAGATGAGAGCAAACTAGTTTAAATTAGTTACCTTTACAGAAAGTTTAAGATCTTCAGAGAAAAGTATGTCATGAACTTACACAGTTAATTGTTGAACAACTGGGGGTCAGGAACACCAAACCCTACAGAGTCAAAAATCCTCTTACAATAACTACATTGGCCCTTGGAATCCATGGGAGGATTGGTTCCAGGACCCCTTGAAGATACCAGAATCTACGGATTTTCATGTTCCTCATCTAAAATGATGTAATACATATAGCCAGCCAGCCATATCTGCAGATCCCAACCATGGACAGGATATATTATTTTCAGTCAGTACTTTGTTAAATCTGAGGATGTGACACCTGTGGAGGACCCACTGTATTTACTGAAAAAAAACAAACAAACAAACAAAAAAAAAACCCTGCATGTAAGTAGATCCCTGTGGTTCAAAGCCATGTTTAAGGGTCAACTTTGCACAGGGTTTTGGAAGGAAAGATCATCTTTACTTTGTCTGAATGCTGAGATTTACATAGGTATAACTGTCAGTTTTTCTGACTCTAGACACAGCAAGTAAATTACCAAGTATTCTCTGTTCTCCATTTTATTTTATGAAATGTGGTGGAACAATATATCAGATTTCAAATAAAACATCATAAAAATAGAATATTAATGAACAGATTACATAAATTTTATTAGTGAAACAGCTAAAACAATTAAAATTCAAACAAATAAGGCTTATTCTTATAATATATGAGGTAGTAGGTCCAGAACCTGAACCACTTCAGTTTCTATATTATGTTTGATGATTGTTATCTCCTCCTTGGCCTTCTTACTAATATTTCTAGTATTTACCTGAATCCCTTTCTACTGTGGAAGATCGTAAGGCAGTTGTGTTTATTTTTGTTCCTGGAAGCTCCTGGTTTCTTATATATTCAATGGAGGTGGGATGTAATGAATTACAGGATAGAGAATTTAGTAAGTTCTACTACTTTCCCACACATTCATTGCCATTTTGCATTTGTTTACATTCCAGTGAAAATTTCCTGGCAATAGTAATCATCCAAGTTCTTCTGATGATCAAACTTAAAGATAAGATGTTATCTTCTGTGCCCTTTGGCCACATTTGACCTTACAGACTCTTTCTTGAAAGTGGCTCTTTCCTTCATTTGGAAGTGCTATTCTATGGTATTTGTCCTTCAATGCCTGGCCTATTTCACTCAGCATAATGCTTTCCAGTTCCATCCATGTTGTTGCGAAAGGTAGTAGCTCCTTCTTTCTCTCTGCTGCATAGAATTCCATTGTGTATATGTATCACAATTTTTTGATCCATTCGTTTACTGATGGGCACCTAGGTTGCTTCCAACTCTTGGCTATTGTAAATTGTGCTGCTATGAACATTGTGGTGCATAGGTTCTTTGAAATTGATGTTTTAGGATTCTTGGGGTATAATCCTAGCAGTGGAATTGCTGGGTCAAAAGGCAGGTCAATTTTTATTTTTCTGAGAAAATTCCATACTGTTTTCCATAATGGTTGCACCAGTCTGCAATCCCACCAACAGTGAACTAAGGTCCCCTTTTCCCCACACCCTCTCCAACATTTGTTGTTTGTTGCTTTGTCTATTATAGCCATCCTGACTGGTGTAAAGTGGTATCTCATTGTGGTTTTAATTTGCATCTCTCTGATACCTAACGATATGTTTTCTCATTTCTTAGATTTAATCTTCTTAGTCCCCTTTCCTAGTTCATTTTTCTCTGCCTACTCCAAGAAGTTGGCATACTATGGTCCTCTTTTATTTATATTCACTCAATCCAGTCTCCCATCAACCTTACCCACTCCCATTGATAATTTCATCAGTGACTTATAAATCTTAAGGATCCATCTCTCTCCTGAACTACACACTCTTGTTTTCAAGTACCTCAAATTAAACATGACTAACACATCCATTAATAGATAAACACGGCAACCATATATATGATAAATTGAAATTTGAGAGTGAAATTAAGGGGCACAAGTTAGGATATACTCTTCTTTCTAGGTGAGCAGTGATTATGAACACTATGATAGGATGAAAGAACTGGCATTGGTATTAGGCAGCATGGTCAGCCAGAAATACCAAAGGGAGATCTCAACTAGACTGCTAGAAAATACACATTAAAGTATATCACAGAACTCTAAAAACAAAGAAAGAAGTCTCCACACCATAAACAAATCAATAAGTGTTGGAGAGGATGTTGGGGAAAAAGGAACCCTACTGCACTGTTGGTGGGAATGCAGACTAGTACAGCCACTGTGGGAAACAGTATGGAATTTCCTCAGAAAACTTAAAAATGGAACTGCCTTTTGACCCAGCAGTTCCACTGCTAGGATTATATCCCAAGAACTCTGAAACACCAATCTAAAAGAACCTATGCACCCAATGTTCATAGCAGCACAATTTACAATAGCCAAGTGCTGGAAGCAACCTAAGTGCCCATGAGCAAATAATTGGATCAAAAAAACTATGGTACCTTTACACAATGGAATGCTATGCAGCAGAGAGAAAGAAGGAGCTCTTACCCTTTGTGACAGCATGGTCAGAAATGGAAAGCATAATGCTAAGTGAAATAAGCTAGGCAGTGAGATTACAAATACCATATGATCTCACCTTTAACTGGAACATAATCAACAAAAGAAAAAAGCAAGCAAAATATAACCAGAGACATAGAAATTAAGAACAATTTGACAGTAACTGGAGGGGAGGTGGGAGGGGATAATAAGGGGAAGGGTTTTTAGGAACTACTATGAGAGACAAATGGACAAAAATCAGTGGGGAGGATGGAAGAAAGGCAGGGAGGTGGGTTTGGCTGGGGTCGGGAGGAGTGGATGAGGGAAATGCAGATAACTATGATTGAACAATAATAAAATAATTCTTTTTAAAAAGAAATCTCCAAAGATAGCATACTATCAATCAGAAAATAATCAAACAAAATCACTTAATGGACACTTGAGTAAGGATCCCTGAACAGAGAACAAACAGATGAGGGGGAGGGAAGGCAGAAGTACTCCAAGGAGATTGGACTTTGAACAAGTTTCAAAGTAAAGGTGCTAAGGTTGAGACTTCTGATTAAGCCAGGGGCAAAAATATTCCCAGGTTATTAGTGCCCCTATATTTGGCAGAAACAATTTAAAAAATCAAGGTTAGATTGAAGTACTATTGATAGAAGCCCCTAGGATTACTTTAAAATAAGACAATATAAGTTCAAAAAGATCACCAAATACACAAGAAAACAAACTACTATAACAGAAAATTAGACAACAAATAGTTTTATATCTCCATGGATTTCAGATCATTGAATTATTAAAGTTAGAATATAAAATAATTCATTATAAGATATTGATACCGAAAATAAATATGCAATGAGATACAGTAAAAAATTACCAGGTAGACTTTTCAAAGAAAAAAAAACATTTAGAAATAAAAAATTGAATTATTGGAGTTAACTTGGCATATTTGAGAGAATTAGTAAACTAAAAGATGCATAAATAAGGAATTAATACACTATGTTGCACAGAGACAGGAGATAAAAAATATAAAGAGGTTAAGCAAGATAGACAAAACAAAAAGGTTTAACATGTTTAATCAGGGAATTATGTTAATGGCTGAGATGATATAAATCCATAAACACAAGAGGAACAATGCATATCAAGCAAGATAAATTGAAAAGAATATATAATTATGCACATTTGTAATGGAAATGCAGAACTCCAAAAATGAAGATCTGAAAAAAACTGCCAGAGAAAAGACAGGTCACTTACAAAGAAACTTCAAACAGACTGATACCAGACCCCTTAATGGCAACAATGGAAGGTAGAAGACAGTAGGAAAATATCTTCAAATTATGAAGACAAAATGAGCACCAATACTTTATGATATAACAGTGGACTTCTCTTTCAACAATGAAAGCAAAATAAAGACCCTTTCAGATATACAAAAACTAAGCACATTCAACAAATCTTTAATAAAGGGACTACTAGGGGACATAACTCAGGAAAAAGGAAAATGACTTCAGATGGAAAGTCTGAGAAGCATTGGCTTTTTAAAAAAAAAGATTTGGGTAGGATCAAGGATAGGAAGTGGGGATGGCTAGGGTGCAAAGGGGGAAATGCAGACAACTTCACTTGAACAACAGTAAAAAATGTGGGGAAAAAAGAAAAAAAATTTGGTTAATGTACAGGTAGATAAACAGGGATACACAGATGTTTTGATATAATTTAAGATCAGATGATGTTAATTAGCAATATCACATAAATCAGAAGGGATTTAAAGTGCCATGGTCCTTCCTTTTTTGTACAGTTGAAGATATTAATTAACGTTTGAATAACTATGGATAGCAAATTTCAATGATAAATG